TCTTCTCTTCTCAAGAAATTTAACAAGAAAAAGCAACTAACAAAACCTACTTTTTAATTTCCCTCCCCTTATAGTTTTATTTCCATCCCCAATATTGCTTCCATAACTTACAAACAAGTGACTACTTCAAAAAAAAAAAAAGGTTAGTTACAAATTCTATCATATCAACAGAACTAAAATATATGTGGTATCAGAATGCAAGAACAGCACAGATGCTAGATAGCATGACAGAGAAACTGACCTCCTTAACCTTCTTGTTAATAACGTCCAAGAGAAGTCTTGAAAGAAACCCACCAGCAACAGATAATAACTGGACAATGCGTGTAGCGACAGCACGAGGCCGTTTTCCCCAATATGCAGAAATGCTGGCAGGATCATAAACCAAAGGCAAGAACTCACTACTTTCATCAACCTAAAGAAACACAATGCCAAATGATGTCAGAAAAAGTCCTGTATTATTCTCTTTTTGAAAATTAATAAACAGTCTGTAGAAGATCTAGCACAATGATAAACAGCAAACAGAGAGGTCTGTTGAGGAAAGAGAAAAAATTAAACATATAATCTGAGAGCTAAAATAAAATGCAAATTATGTGCCTGAGAAATGAGAAAAGCATTGGCTTCCTATTTTAGCTAGTTTCATACAAGCTACTTATTTGATTAGCCAAATTTGAGCCGACACTGTCCTACTTTAAACATTCCAGGATCTACCCTGCGCTGGCTTCTATACGATTTTCAGCTGTAAGCATTTATTCTATTTGTTGATGAATGTAGCATCAAGGATTAGGTGATGGCAATTAAAAGATGAGAAGCAAGATATTTTCAAGCGGAATCTTTTGGACAAATGAATTTGGGAATCTCAGGGAAGTGCTAATATCATGTGGGAGGATATGGCTAAAAAAATAAGGGAAGTTGCAAAAGTAGTTTTGGGGGAATCAAAAGGTTCTGGTCCGAGAGATAAGGAGTCTTGGTGGTGGAATAATAGTGTACAAGACAAAATCAAACACAAGAAGAACTGTTTTAAAACCATGCATTTGTGTAACAATGAAGAAAATTGAGAGAGGTACCATACGGCTAAGAAGGAAAGTAAGAAAGCTGTAAGTGAAGCTTGTTCTAAAGCTTTTGAAGAATTTTATAAGAACCTTGAGATGAAGGAAGGAGAACGAAACATTTATAAGATTGCTAAGAGTAGAGAAAGAAAATCAAGAGATTTAGAACAGATAAAGTGTATAAAGGATGAAGAGGGAAGAATTTTAGTTACAGATGATGAAATTAAAAATAGATGGGAAACTTACTTTTTCAAACTTTTCAATGATGAAGAGGGTTCATCTAGTAACTTGAAGGATTTAGTAACCCGTGAAGGAGAACAAAATTTATCATTCTATTGAATAATACATGATAAGAAAGTCAAGGAAGCTCTTAAAAAAATGGTAAATAGTAGAGCCAACGGACCTGATTGTATATCTATTAAAGTGTGAAAATATTTAGGTGAAGAAAGGGTGAGATGGTTAACTAAGTTATTTAATGTGATTTTACGGTCCAAGAAAATGCCTGACGAGTGGAGCAGAAGTATATTAATTCCTATTTATAAAAATAAAAGGGATATTCAGAATTGTACTAACTATAGAGGGATTAAACTCATGAGCCACACAATGAAATTGTGGGAGAAAGTAATTGAGCACAGGTTGAGATTGGAAACAAGTATTTTTGAGAATCAGTTTGGTTTTATGCCAGGTAGATCGACTACAGAGGCGATTTATCTATTAAGAGGATTAATGAAAAAGTATCATTGTAAAGATAAAGATTTACACATGGTTTTTATTAATTTGAAAAAAGTTTATAACCGCATACCAAGAGAAGTGCTTTTGAAAGCCTTGAAAAAGAAGGGAGTACAGATTATTTATATTAAAGTCATACAAGATATGTATAGGGGGTAAAAACTAGTATAAGAACGTCTAGTAGTCAAACAAAGGACTTTCCTATAAAGAATGGACTACATCAGGGATCATTTTTGAGTCCTTATCGGTTTAACTTGATCCTAAATGTTTTGACGGAACATATTCAAGAGGAAATTTTCAATTGTATGCTCTTCGCAGATGATATAATTCTTATAGCAGAGACAAGAGAAGGGGTTAATTGTAAACTTGAGTTATGAAGGAGGACATTAGAGTCGAAAGGTTTCCGTTTGAGTAGGAGTAAGACGAAATATTTACATTATAAATTTAGTAAGAGACTAGTCGACAGTAATTTGGAAGTGAAATTGGAAAATCAAATTATATCTCAAGTAGAAAAGTTTAGATATTTGGAAACCATTACTCAAAATGATGGTGAAATCAGTGAGAATATTTCACATAAAATTTAAGTTGGGTGGTTTAATTGGAAAAAAATTAAAGGAGTTATTTACGACTGTAAGGTGCCTAATAAACTTAAAGGAAAGTTTTATCATACTACTATCAAACTGACTATGTTATATAGTAGTGAATGTTGGGCTCTAAAGGGATAGCAAGAACATAAAGTTGGAATAGCAGAGATGAGAATGTTACGATGGATGTGCGGACATACACGTAAAGATAAAATTCAAAATAAACGTATACACGAAAAAGTGAGGGTAACACCTATTGAGAAAAAAAGGTAGAAAATCGTTTGAGATGATTTGGGCATGTACAAAAAAGACCACAGGAGGCACCAGTGAGAAGTGAAGCATATAATTTTGAGCCCTATTAAGAAGGGTAGAGAAAGGCCCAAGAGAACACTCTTCAAAATTGTTAAACGCAATCTCTTAATTAATAATATTTCCGAAAGCTTGATAAATGATAGAGCATATTGACGTCTTATAATCCATATAGCCGACCTCACCTAGTGGGATAAAGGCTTGTTGTTGTTGTTGATGAATGTAGTTGATTTCTCTCTTCAAATGTACGAGAGTCACGATTCAATTGTATATGAATTGCAAACTGATGATTTCAATTTATCCCCCCCCTAAAAAAAAAAAATACATTACCCAAATGGCTTTCATTTGCAACAAAATTACACGCTCAGATTCACAACAAAATATGTGCAAATATAGAAGACTCGCTAAGGTCACTCAGTAGTTAGACCGAGATCATGATTAGTTTATTAGAGTTAGACATTACATTTGTAAGTGTAAATACCTCAACAAGACGAAGCTGAACATTATCCTCAGCAAACATTGAATCTCTTAAATTTTGTCCTCGAAGACCTCTCATGAGTGTTGCCAACTGCTCATTTTCTTCCATTTGTGCCCTGACCCTTTTAATCTCCTGAGAAACATCGCCAATTTTCTGCCGGTTGCAAGGAGTTAGTTCAGGTTAAATCCAACACCGACTAGATATAAACCCAAACACGGGAAATCAAACCATCCATTCAACCGACCGACAAGGCGATAACTTTAAAAATAAACCCCAGAAAATTTAAAATAGCAGAGGAAATCTTATTGAAAAGAGCGAGGTAACAGTGCGTGAGAAGGATAGCTGTATTCCTGATCAAATAAAAATAAATTTAACGAAGAATGAGAAGAAGGGAAACAACAAGCCACTACATCAAAAACAGTATAGGTAGAACCACGATCATTTTTATTAACAACAAGAGGCACTAAAGCTCCATAAGCTAAGAAGCCAACTGATTATCATGTCCCAAAGTAAATGATCGCGAGAGCCTAACTAAAAATTATAAAACATATATACTCAACCACGAAGTGGCTTAAAGCAGTATATGGTAATATCCCGTGAATTAAATATGGAGTCCTCTTAAAAGTGCGAATACGTTGACATTCCAGAGAGCAATATCTACCCAAAAAAGAAGTCAAATTCAGGGTCTAGTAAGTTACCGTAGAGACACCATTGACAGATTGAGGCGGCGAAGACCTGGAAGAACCATTGGGAGCACGTGCCGGACGAGACGCAGTTCTTGTGGGCCTGGGTTCGGCAGAGACCGCGGTAACCCGACCAAGCCGTCGGTGAACCCGAACCTTGTTCCTGCTAATTGAGAGTTGAGAAGGAGACCAGCGACGAAGGGGATCGATTCCGCAGTAAACGAGCTGTGAAGCCGCGTCCATGGTGGAACCGTACAACCTGTTACGAGTGAGCGAAAGCTTGGAAAAACTTGAGAGAGAGGGAGTAGAATTTGGTAGCGATGGTGGTGGAGATGCGTGAGTGGACTACCGAAAGTGGTGCGAAAGGGGCAAGATGTTCTACCGTTTTGGTCGATGTGAAGGGTGGCCGTTGAGGAGACACGTGGCCATAAGGAGCGACGGAAAATTTATTTGTTCATACGCATTTTCTTTTGATGCATGCATATTTGCATTTATATTTTGCGTCATTTTTTGTGCCCGGGAATCGCGACTGGCGCAATTGGCTTGGCCGTGAAATAATGAATGGGAGACATGGAATGTCGAAACACGACAAGATGGCCTCTCGAATATTTTCGCAAGCCACTCGTTCCATGGGTGAATCGTGATTCACGAATATGCACACGCACTCATGCCACTCAAAAATCATTTATGACATTAAATCGTTGAATAATGTTAAGTAGACTGAAATATTTTTCAACTCAGTTAATTTGAGTATATTAGAAATGATGCCTCTCAATTAAAATTAGATGGATGAATAAAAAATCTTTATATATAGGTAATTTGCTTGGAGCTGATTGCATTTATCGATCCATTTAATTCACCCCGGTTGTAGAGAAAATAGAAAGAACTAAATGACATTTTAGATTTTGTCAAATGACATGTTTGTATATGAGAAAAACTTATATACTTAGTCTTAAAATATTTATTTTCAATTAAATCAAAATATATGTATCTATTATAAATTATTTACTTTATAATAAATTTTTATTTTTAATATTATTAATACGTTAAAATTTATATGTCATGATTTAATTAGATGATAGTAGATCAAGCATATAAGAATAAGTATATAAATCCTGTGTGTGTATGAATAATAATCTGATTAGTAAAAATAAAAAGAATTAAGTTTATAGAGCAAGAAGGAACTGATTACCATTAACAAAAGAACATATTCAACAGAGGTTGTAAAATGAGAAACAGCGGCACAAACGTGCGTAAGGAACAAAAATGAATATGATACGTTTGAATGGGAGGGAGCAGGAAAGAACACTAGAATCAACTTATGCAGCTGAATCCACGACAAACAGACATAAAAATGATCAAAAACAAGGCAATAACGATACCAAAAACAATCAACTTCATCTTCATGTTTTGAATCCACATTCTCCTCTTCACCTTTGTGCCCTGCGTTTTAAAATCCTGTGCCTGCATATAACATATATTCGCCAACATTAACGATTAATTAGATCCATGAAATCATTCATTAATTAAATAAGAAGAAAGTATTGAAAATCGCTATAAATGCTCAATGCACGCACAAACCTGTGAACGAAGGTTTTCAGTCTTGTCCACTAGCAATTCAATCTTCTCTCCACGGTCAAGAACCTGTTAAAAAAAAAACTCTTATTAATCCGAGACACTGTACGATGATGGTTAAAATATTTAGAGCGTGGAAACCAGTAATTAATAGTGAGAATGTTGCCTTTTCAATGTTCTCCATCATCACACCCTTGACTTCAGAAACTTGAGCCTTCACTTTCGCAAGCTTGCTTATCTCTTCAGGATGATCCACACAGTACTGCATTTGCTCTTTCAACTTAGGCCTACAAATTAACACATCATCCTCATTAGAATTAATTAGCGAATGCCTTAATCAATGATTGACGGATATTCACCAATCAACTTAATTTTTATGGTTGATATATAAATATATATACCCAAATTCTTTGTTGAGGCCACGAGTTGAAGCAGTGGCTGCTTTGCCTCCGCCATATTTTTTTGTGAATTCTTCTTTGATGCGCTCCAGAAACGCAATGGGAATCTGTCTTCCCGCAGATTCAACGGCCACCACACAATAGGCTACCAAATCAATTACAATATATAAGTCCGTCATCATTTTTATCTCTTTTAGATGCAACCAATATACATTTCAAATCATTCTTCTTTTATTTATTTCCTACTTCTCTGACACGTATCCCTCGACTTACCTTGTGCATTCTTCATCAATTGCTTTTCCATTTTGTATATTGAATAAACTAATTAATGATTAATCATTTAGGTTTCTTTTCTTCTAGTGTCGAACAATATGTAAGATTGTAAGGAAAATTATATGATCATCATAATGTATCAGGAATCAAACATGTCTACATTCAGTTATAACATGCCATATGTGTTTCATATTTAAATCAATAACAAAAATAAAACAGCAAAATTTTGATCGAACCAAGGTAACTTCAATCTTGTCTATCTCTAAGATTATCTCGCCTCATTCAATTCCATTATTTTCAGATACTTGTTAGCCAACGTGAATACGAATATCAGAAGTACCAGATGAATAAGTCAAATTTATTTATGACGTCAAAATACAAGCAATCAGATTTTGAAGGGGGAGGCAGTGACACGCCCCAGAAAGCAAATGCCGAATGCGAAAAGGGGCAATAATATATAATAATTATGAAGATTCAAAATATGAAGGTGACGTACTGAAGCCATTCTCAACGAGGTAGTTGAAAGTGTGACCATCGCAATTGTAAGTGAATCTGTTATTGGAAGAAGGAAGCTTCTGGAGGCATTGAGAGGCGATGGTTGTGAAATTTCCGGTGAATTCAGTGTACTCTGCGAGAACCATGGTGCCTCGAGCCACGAAGCTGTAGATCAGAGATTTTTGTCCCATGTCTTCAAAAAACCCGACCCCGAATCAATGAATCTAAGAAATTCACAGAGGGTCGATCGGTCGGAAAGGAGGAGAACCAGAGAGAGAGAGATCATGGATAGAGAACAAAGATGCTGGATTTTCGTTTTGTGTATGGATGAGCAAATTATGTTTGCGACGTGAGAAACATGCGGAACGAGATGGAGGGTGATACATCTAATCTTAAAATAGCATGTTTATGGGTTGATTTGTGCTTATGACAATGTCAAAGTCGGTCCTCGAAATTTTAATTCGTGATGTTGTCAAATTGTTTTCATAGACACAGTGTAAATAAAAAATTAGTATTAAGGCAGAGTGTCAATTATTTGGGAAAAAGATGCGATGGGTACATTGCATTATTTGTGATTTGTGTAATTAAAATATTTTAAGTAATTTTAAATAAAATTTTGTATAATATTTTTTAAATTAATTTTATTTTTATAATAAAATGCATGTTTGATTTACTATATTTTTCTCTCTAAATTATCATTAATATCAGAATTAATTTATATTTAATATTATATAAATATTATATTTTTATTGAACATACTACAAACGACATGAAACACCCAATTCATTTAAATATTTTTCAATAATTATTTTGCTTGTGATAGAATTTAATATTAATTAATGACTGTTAGAGTAGTTCATGCGGTGACTTAAATATGAAATTTATAAAATATGGAGTAAATATATTAAATGTAAATTCTAAATCTTTTAGAAGCATCTTGTTATTAAAGGAATTTATTGTTGATAAATTATATTTTTTAGTTTTTTACATGTAAAAGTAAAACTCACCATAGTTCGTATTAATTGCATGGAGTGAAAAAATGTAAGAGAAAATCACACCTAGGTCCTATAAAACAAGTCCCATTAAGTGGAGAAAATACTTTGTAGCCCCTTGATCCTTTAATATGAATAATTTAGCAAGTAAAGTTACTCATTTTTCCTAATTGAATCAAAAGGAAAGGATGAAGGAAAGAGAAAGCATTCAACGTGAGGGAAGTAATGAGCTAAGCTCTCCTAATCATCTTCGAAAAATTGAGCTAGATAGGATCATTTTGTAGCTAAAATGTGAACATATTATAAATTCTCTCATCCAATATTACTGCATTTTCAATCTTATAAGTATGTTTAATGTCTGTAAGTGTACGAGTTCACTAAGGAATAAAGCCCAGCTTCAACCTTCAAATTTAGTGTTATTGTGACCTTGCCGAATAAGGTGAATAATGAAATTGGTTTGTATGTATTCCTTGTTAATCATTTAATTTGGTCTTTTATTGTTTGTTAGTAGAATAAAGTCATATAAGTTGTCTCTTTCTCTATTTATAGGTATATCAGTCGTAGGTGGTCTCTCTTTCTTTTTTTATGGGGTATATTTGTGGTAGGCAATCACTGACCTTGCATTTATAATAGTGCATTTGATATTTTAGTGCTACTTGATTGAGCTGATAAATCTATTATGAAATGACAAAATTTGTTGTTAATAGTTTTGAGCGTGAGTTGTCAATATACTATTGGCAATTGTCAATATGTTGTGTATAGTGTAAGTTAAGTTGATAAATCTATTATGAAATGGCAAAATGTGTTGTTAATCATTTAGGCATAAATTATTATTATGTTATGAGTAATTATCAATATGTTGCATAGCGCAGATTGAGCAAATAAATCTATAATGAAATATATAAGGGGAGTGTAAGAATAAGAATAATAAATAAAGGGACAACATATGAAGAGTTAAGAAGAATGTTATCATTAATCATGGGATGTGAAAACAATAGAAGTCAAATGAAATTCACGACAAGCATCAACAGAAGCACATTTATATTTGTGGTAGGCAATCATTGACCTTGCATTTATAATAGTGCATTTGATATTTTAGTGCTACTTGATTGAGCTGATAAATCTATTATGAAATGACAAAATTTGTTGTTAATAGTTCTGAGCGTGAGTTGTCAATATACTATTGGCAATTGTCAATATGTTGTGTATAGTGTAAGTTAAGTTGATAAATCTATTATGAAATGGCAAAATGTGTTGTTAATCGTTTAAGCATAAATTATTATTATGTTATGAGTAATTATCAATATGTTGCACAGCTTAAATTGAGCAAATAAATCTATAATGAAATATATAAGGGGAGTGTAAGAATAAGAATAATAAATAAAGGGACAACATATGAAGAGTTAAGAAGAATGTTATCATTAATCATGGGATGTGAAAACAATAGAAGTCAAATGAAATTCACGACAAGCATCAACAGAAGCACATTTATAGATCTTGTTAAGGATAATAGAGTAGAACATCTAATTAGATATAAATAAAGAAAGTGTCCACACATAATATTTCATGTTCAGGTGCATTGATATTCACCAATATGCTAACCTAAATATTCTTGCAGCCATCAAAGACTAAAAGGCCTCCAGGAATGCCTAGGATGAAAGGACACGCATCTCAATTTCAAAACAAGAAGGTTTATCGTTGTGGAAGATGTCGTGTGTAAGGTCTCCCTTATTAATCTATAATGAATCCTAAAATTAAGGTAATTAAGGGACTAATCCAAATAAATTATCAAGTTTATAAAATTTACATAAATGGGACCTCAAGTTTTCAAAATTTAAAATGCCATAAAATAATTTCATAAACTAAAATCAAAACAAAACCTGTATATGAAAGCACGAATATCATATAAGATAAGATAACATCAAATTGAAGTTAAAAGCAGAAATAGTAATTCTAGCACAATATGTCATTACGGCTTAACATGCAAAACCCATGACAATGCTAAAATATGCCAAACATTCATTAAGAGGTAGATAATGTTGCTTTCCATTTGCTTCTCAGTTAAGATAGAAGAAAACCATAGTTATGTAAAACTCTATAAAACCATCTTACCCAAGTGAATCGAGGCTCAAGCCAAACCTTAGACCTAATTCTAAGATGACGCTAGCCATGGATGTGAATTCTATGTTGTTGTAGAAAGATATTATGCTTAACTAAAATGTTTAAACCTCCACAAGAGACTCTAATCTATAAAACTCAATGACTACGCCACTCATGAGCTAAAAGAGGAAGATTTAATTAGGTTAAAGACATGTAACGTGACATCACATTAGGTGAGAAAACGAAGTTAAATTTATGAAGCTTGAGAATATAGGAGTTTCTGATGATGTTAAGTCTGACGTAAGCAATTTAACGATGTGGCAACATGAGGTTAAACTTGTATTCACAATTGTTAAATTAGCCATAGTGATTTCTAGTGATATAGACACTTGTTGATTTTGAGTTAGAGATGGTTCATCGGACATATGTGGTAAATTGTGAGAAAGTAATTTGAGACATTTATCATCAAAAGAATCAGAATTGTCTATCAAACAAGAGAGCTTTCTCTTTTGACAATGCAGCATTAGAGATGTTACATGCCAGTTACCATTTGTCTCCTAAAAAAAGTATTTTGTGTCTCATCTTGCATATGCAAAGTCTACGATCAATCTTCAATTTCAAAGGTCAGTAAAAGTGAAGAATTTTGAATCAAAAGTGGCCTCCAATTAAAAACATGTTATGAAAAATCCAACCAATCAAAAGTCATTTTAACTGATTCTTTATGAGAGTATTTTAGAAACCACTTTTGAGCAAAAGAAATGAAAGAGAAGGACAGAAAATTTGAGCAATTCTAATGAACATGTCCTATGTAATGGCAGTTAAAACAAAGTCAATGAATTCTTTCATAATGGATTGAAAAGCCAAACTCTGATCTCAAAGAGAAAGATAGAACTCCTTGCAATTTTAATGGTTGTTGAATATTAATTAAAACACAAATGCACGTGCCAAAGTGTTGAAAACAACTAGCTCGATCACAATAAAGAAAAGAACCTAAGGAATTCCAAATGAAAGAAGCATAATAATTAGTATAAAACTATATTTCTAACCTAGTTATATGAACCCAGAGAGGCATATATTGAAAAGAGATGTCTTGAAGTCTTAAAAAAGGCATCAATTTTTGCAATATCAGCATACTGCCATCAAAAACCCATGGAACATTTTAAAGCATGTAGTTTTTGTCATAAGAACTACTGAAAAACACAAGAAACTGATTAGAGTGACATTGAACAGCACTAACATATCCTCTTGATGTTTAGAAACTTAAGATAAAAGTCTGTAACTTTGATGGATGAAACTAATATTGATCATAAACTTTCACAAAGTGATTTTTACACCAATCATGATTTGGAAATTTGTTATAAGAAGAAGCAGCCATGAAAGATCAAAAAAGATGACTTAGAAAGGTAGAAAAAGGTAAGATGAAAATAAACACTGTTGCTAAAGTAATAGGCATAAAGAGAGGGGGCTTCAAAAAAGAGAGAGAGAACACTCCCTATTAATTGTTATAGTTAAAGTGTAAGGGATAGTAAATTATTTAATAGGCTTTTCACATTTAATGCATGCCTATATTAAAAAGGAATGTATGGCATCCATACTTAACATAAAAGTCCAAAATAAAGGTCAAGCCTAGTGGGCTGCCTATTTAAGCTTTTTTTTTATAGGACTTGACTTTACTCCATTTATCCACTCTCCACTTCCTCTCTTAACCTTTGGATTCATTTTTAAATGGTTAAGATTTAATACTTCATAAAATTATTATTAAAATGTAAAATTTATGATAAATAAATTTTAAATACAACTAATTTTATCTAAATTACAATTCAAGATTTATTTTGAAATGTTAAATCTCAACAATTCAAAAATGTACCTAAGAGTTGAGATGAGAGGTGAAGATAGGATAAATGGAAAGAAGTCAAATCCATTTTTATAAGAGTTTATTTTGGAAAAAAATTTGACATTTCTAGAGAAATCAGGCTTTGACTCCTCGCCTTGGTATGCCTTGATAAAAAGGCTTAAGTGGTGTGTTTTTATTTTGCCAAAAAATTTTCAATTTTAAAATCAAATTTAAATTTTATAATATATGTTATCATGTTGATGCTCTAGAATTAAAATTTCTATTATTTATTTTTAAATTTTGAACATTATAATCTGTAATTTAAAAATTTTAAAACATAAATATTTGTTTACAAGCTCTACCCTGAGCTATTTAAATAAGAGCCAGGCTTCAAAAAATTATTGATTTTAGGGTGACTAGATTTATGGACAGAGCCATATGGGTCAGCCAGACCATTTTTAGAATTCTAGTTCAATGGATTATA